TCTCTCCCTCTTCCCCCCCCTCCGCGCACCATAACCCCGCTTTCCTCCACCCTCAGACGCACACACAACTCTCCCCCGAGGCTGTTGCTAACTGGAGTCCAACCCCACGTTCCCATCCCATCCCTGAGGTCAGGGGATGGGGCCTGCCTTCTAGGGCCGTTAAATCCCGCGTTTCTACAGGCGCAGCTCTCTAGTGACTCCAGGGCCCAACAGACTCGCGTTCAGCCACCCTGCCCTGACCATCTTGAGGGCAGCCGGGGACAGCTTCGCACCAAGCCCTTAAGTCCCAAGGCCTCCGACGGTTAGGAGGAGGCCGTAATCTTGTTTGTCTCTCCCGCTCCTCCAGGCCTGGGAGAGCAGCAGGAGTCGTCACGCCGGCCTGGGTGACCGCCTGCGTGCTTTTATATAAGGCGCTCACTGTCTCAAGCCGGGACGGGAGCTGGGGCGGGTGGAGAAGAGAGGCGGAGAAGGGGATTTCTTGGCCACGTCACTGGCCCTCGCCCCGTTTCCCGCGCCGGTGACCGCAACGGGGGTTCCGGGAGCCGCGTGCCGTTTCATGTGTGCTTGAGCAGAGCCGACCAAAGCCGCCGCCGCCGTCTCCACCCTTGGCTGCAAATGGACAACTCTCTCAGCTGTTTTTCAAAGTAAAGCAAAACCGGCTGTACAAAGGCAAGTGCGCTACAGCATCTTCCAGGCTCCCTGGGAGAAACCTCGAGACAAAGAAGGAGAGTGTAGGGAAAAAGCAACGGGGGCGCTCTGTGGAGGCATTGGTTTTGTGGAGGGCTTAGCCACCCTAAGATGAACCGGCAGGGAAAGCAGGAGAGCTCAGGGAGCAGCTAGGCTTCCCTCCAAGCTGCTGCCGAGCCAGGCTTTTCAGCTGCATTCTTCCTGCAGCACAAAGAGGAGAAGTTGAGCAAACAGGAAGCGTGGTGGCCTCACACACACACACACACCCCGGCAGCAACAGCCACCGCCGCCTCCGCCGCCGCTCTGATTCATTGGGTCTTGAAGCTGTCTCCGAGGGGGAGGGGGGAGGAGGAGGAGTTGCCGCCGCCGCCGCCGCCGCCGCTGCTCGCCTGTGGGAAGGAAGGAAAGCGCCTGGCTGCGCGTGTTGCCCAAAGTCTCTCGCTTGCCAGAGAGAAGCGGCCCCAGTCGGTCGGGGAGACGCGCGCGGCTGCCGGCCCACCTGCCCGCCCCCATGCGCTCGAAGAACTGAGACTGCGCTCGCCCGCCGAGAGGGGCCTCTGGCCGGCTGGTCGGTCGACTCTCGCCCCAGAAGCCGCGCCGAGAGTTCCCTTGCCCGCCCGCCTGGGGTGGAGGAAAAAGTGACTTTGCCTGAACTTCGTAGGAAAAGGCTGGAGCCCGCCGGAGACCCAAGCCCACCTTTCTTCTCCGTTGCTGGGGCTTAACAATATGAAGGAGCAGCACTCATGTGTGGGCACTGGGCTTCCCCCCATGGCTGGGTACGGCAGGATGGACCCGCTCGAGCTTGCTGTTAGCCCCGTGAAACGCTTGCGAACTGAGCACTCCTTTCCCTATCTCTTCGCAGAGGAGGCCTACCAAAAACTGGCCAGCGAGACCCTGGAGGAACTGGACTGGTGCTTGGACCAGCTGGAAACCTTGCAGACCAGGCACTCCGTCAGCGAAATGGCCTCGAACAAGGTAGGACCCCCTTCCCCATGTGCCTCTTCTCTGTACGCTCCTCTGCCCCGTGCAGTCTTCCCCACGAAGAACTGGCTACTCCACAGACCATGTTCCATAAAAGACGAGCTTGGGCTGTGGTTTAGTCAGGTGACTCGGAAGGAGACCTGCACCCCTTTGCTTTGGGGGAAGCTTTCAGTTTGTCCGGGAGGATGTAAAATGTGCATGCACTCGGGTGGTGTATCTAATTTGGGTGCCTCAGGTCTCAATGAAGAATTCTTCATTGAGGCAGGGAGTTTCTATCCTCAAATTCTGTCGTGGAAGCTGCTTCACAATAAAAGATGCATAAGATAGGGCTGAAAGCTGCATTCATTCCTTTCTGCCTGTGTTTGCACAGAATTGCAAAAATTTGCCGTGATCTCTCAACAGGTTTTAAGGTCCCACTGTTCCTGTGGATGAATGGGAGAGGGGAATTTGGAAAATACTTCAAATATTTGAGATCAGCAAGTATGTTTTGTCTGATGGAGGTTCAAAGCTTACCTTAGCATGGCTTAGGGTCCAAGGGTGCATATGCCATTTAAAGTCTTGAGTACACATTAGTCAAAGTGCTGCCATCTTAAAAACAGAATGAGGAGGGATAGTGTATGTGTGAAATACTTGTATACCACAAAGTACTTGCGGGTTTCTTTGTGAATGGCCATTTGCCAAAGGCTGTAGGAGCTGTCCTTATGACCTGATGTTAAAACCAATGAACAGAGAGAAGCGAGAAAGGCCACATACAAGCTGGAAAGCCGTTAGTGTATATCTCACGTACAAGTGCTTGCATATACAAAAAAGGAGAGAAAGAAAGAAAGAAAGGCTAGTCTTCACCCCTACAGGGATAGAGCAGAGCACTTGGAAATATATCCCATTTATTTCTTTGGCACTTATTTCTGAGTTAACGTATTTAGGTTTGAGAAGCTTATCTACGCTTTCATTGTATTTCTAAAATCACATCAACAGGTGACACGCACTAAATCTACAATAGAAGAAAAGATCCTTCCTGGCACACCCACCTCTTTGTAGATTACTGGAGAAAGTGCAGCTGTATTTTAATAGTGGAGCAATGTTTTTGCTGTTTCGTGATGATTTGTTCTTCTAGATTCATTTTAGTTAGTTCCCAGTTTTCTATTTGCCAGGTTTCCTGATCTGTCATCTCTGGATGAAACCTTATCTGTGGGAAAAACAAGACCAAAAAGCAGTTATTGCAAGCCCTTTGGGAATAATAATTATTTATTTATTTTCATTATTCCACCTTTTCTCACAAGAGTTCAGGGCAGTTAATAACAGAGGAATCAAGATATTGAAGACACAGAGTTAAATCATGTTTTCTTCCCCTTGCTTTCCAGTACTTTGAGAATGGTTATGTGGTGAAGATGGCTGTACGGTGATGTTTGTAGTGTGTTTAATCTGTTAATATAGTTACTCTTTGTTAATTTCCTAGTCTGTGTGTGTGGTTTCTTTCTTTGACCACAGACACATCCCACTTTTTCCCCTGTTAATGACAGTGAACCCATAGTTTTTTTTGTTTAGTTAGTTTATTTGTTCTGGCAAATCAGAATCAATGAAGGCCCTGAACTTTCTTGGATCTTGCATTGTAGACACATGCTAGGTATGCACAAAGGAAAGATTCGCACATTGAGCAATAAAAAATTCATGTTCAACACAGAGTATACAAGGGAGTGCTATAACACAGATGTAGAATGAATATTTCTGTTCAACACACATGTTTTGCAATTAGGTAACTGTTGCATTCACCACCTTAGGCTTTCAGGAGAACATCTAAAATATAGACAAAACAACTTAAACGTGTGAAAGCAAAATAATTACTGTTGACACTTGTCAGTTGTTACAGTTTTCTGATTATCTCTGTCCCTGTTGCACCTCCTGTATCAGAACATGGCCATTTTTCATATTCAGGTTAAGTACCTTATACATAGATGTAATTGGCTCAATTCAGCAATTGTAATAGACACAGTATCTTTTTATGATTTTTCATATTCAGGTTAAGTACCTTATAGATGTAATTAGCTCAATTCAGCAGTTGTAATAGACGCAGTATCTTTTTATAATTGTAACATTGTGGTTCTTGATAAGATACTTTCCTAGTACAGTACTGTATTTGTTAATCAGAAAGCATATATTGACTATTTTAACACTTCATTTCCTTGGAAAACATCAATCAGCCATGTTTTCTTTCCCTTCAAGTAATTTGTTATGATCTTTATTCTCAAAAACATTTGCAAGGTGTCTTGTGTTTTGGATGTGTTCAGTAACAGAAATATCTCTAGTGATTGAGGCTAAGGGAGAAACTCTTTCTTGAGGGATCTGATCTTCTCATTGCTTCAGAAATAGGATCAAGCAGCCTAGGTTTTCCATATAAGATATCCAATATGATGAGCTGAGTTGCCATAGCCACTCTGAAGGTCAATGTGAATGATGCCATCCCTTACATCAGCACTGAAAATGTGCACTGCAGGCACACAATGATTGTTTCTATTTTTTATCTCTCCATGAAATAGGGATGTGAATATCTTAATGTCTTTGCTTCTAATGAAATGTATTCATGTTCACTTTGAAATATGTCTCTCTGTGTTGGGGGATACTCTTTCAGAAACATGTTAAGATTGTAACCTAGCCATATTAATTACAGAAGTCTGTATTCCCAGGAATCATTTTTACAGGACTCCATTATATTTGCATTCTGCAGATTAGCATCACTGAATACAGGCAATACATTTTTGGGATGGTGGCTCTGCATAAATCTGACTTCTGGAAATTCAGGATTTTTACAACTCTGCATAGGAGAGAAAAAAAATCCCCTTGAATATTTTTTCCTTCTTCTTTTGGGAAAGAGTGTTGGCACAAGCTGTTCTTGCATAGTGTCTGTAGTGGATGAAGGTGCCCAGTGATTAAGATAAGAAGGTGTTATATATTCATAGGAGACAGTTCTGTTCAGGATTTATTCATAGTATGTATCTTGGTTCATTGGCCAGACAGGTGTGTGCATAAATTAGATACAGTCACTTCAAGCATGCAGAAATTACATGGGTGCTTTTGACCTGTCTTGTAATATTGCATTTGAGTAGTTAGATATGTTCATAAGGAGTTTAGCCTTATCTCTGCCCATGAATATGCTTCGGTGCAGCATATTGATTTGCAGCTCATAGGTAAAGATTGAGTGAAAATGTGATGGCAATGGCTGCAGAAGATGGAAGCAAAACAGCTTGTGCAAAGCAGAGGACAGCAATTACCTAAAGAAGCCCATTTATAAAGTTTAGTTCTTGTTTGTTTCCAACTTTTCAAATCACCTGTGAAGGTCTCAGAATTAAAGGAGAGAAAAGGATGCATGACAGTTGCTGTCCCACCTGCCTAATTATTTCATAGCAGCAGCATAAAAATATATTGGGAGAGAGGGAAGCCTCCAGTTTTTACGTGATTGCAAAGGATGAGATTTGAGAATCCAAGGAGATGTCCAGAAGAAACCAATAATGCTTATGTAGTATCTGAGGAGCATACATGTGTATCATATATTTCCTCCAATCTGTGCAACACATGTTATGTTAATTGTTATATATTGATTTTAGTGTAGTATAGTTAAGTTTAGAGAAGTGCATTGGCAAAGAAGACATAGTGTTTACTACTGAGAAGAGGAAATATAGAACATTTGCTGTCTCTTGGAATAATGTTCTTTTAGAATTTCTAGCTTTAGGAATTACTACCTTGGCATGCTTAATATATATGAGCAACAGCAGTTTTCCTAATACATAATATTTTTAACTGAATGCAAAGTGGAAGGCAAGCATCTCATGTCTCTTTGAATAAATAAACAGTGAAAGAGCATCTCTTGCAAATTAGTATTTTCATAGACATATTTTCCAAAAACAAATTTTATTCCATAAAGCGTACAGTCTGATAGAGCATATTTATTTACTTTGATATTTCGGGTTGTAATGGTCCTGACTATGGTTACTTGTGAAGTACTAATAATCATATGCACCCTTTCCTAGACCACTGTGAGGTTGCAATAAGATCTTTGTGCAGTAATTTAGCAGTATTGTAACCATAGAAAGTGCATGCCTCTGTGCGTCAGGACCAGAACTGTGCATGCCAATAATTGTACAGGGAGACACAGGACAAGATGCTGGACCTGAGAAACACATTGTGTATTGATACGGACAGTGGAGTGTGACGTCTTGAACAACAGAAGATAAAAGACATGCCTCCTTCGCTGTCCTTGGCTGTCAGCTTCAATCACAGGTGGAACCAAGGCAAGAATTAGGATCCATTTCATAAGGTTTTGTTTCTCTAAGAAGGATTTAGTCATGGCTTTCTGCATCTTGGTAGCTCTTCCGAGAGAAAAACAAAAGTAAAGGACTAAACACACGTCATAGCCACCAAAGGGGAAGCATACAAAATGTGCGCTTCCTGCACATGTGTGCACACATGCTGAGGAAAGTATTCAGGCTGTAGGCCTGGTTGTTGCACTGCTACCTACAACGTGAGTTTCTTTGGTGTCTGTCTAAATCTTCTTCCTGGAGCAATCTCAGGTCGGATCAGAAAGGATCAGGAGCCCTTACACACGCACGTGTGCACATGCGTGCACATCCTACCTGCCCAAGAGGCTAGGATTGTTTCCTTGCTGTGTCACATCCATATTGGGAGGTTCGGTGGAAACTACAGATGTAAGTGTGAAATAAGGCATAGTCACCAGCCTCCATTGTCCAAGTATGTTTATAGTACAAACACAAAGGGTCTGAGTGAATGATGGTGGGGGAAGAAAGTGATAGGGATAGAGAACATGCTCTTCTAAATACAGTAGTACTTGCTTATGCTGTAGCTCCACAAATGTTAGGTGGTCAGTTCTTCTTTAAAAATGGCATTGTGAGTAGCTTCCTCAAAAGAAGAGTTTATCTTATCCCTTGAGGTTGCTAGGAGCATCCATTCAAGAAAGATTGGCCACTTGATCTTAGCAGCAGCCA